AGATGACATTTCATAACCATTCATAAACTAAACTAAAAGGAAATATAAAATATATTCACAAAGAAAATGAAACTAGTTGCAAATTTAAATAAATCAGTAATGAAATTAAAATTCAATAAATTACAAAAATAACTGTTCACTGAGTTTCGGATTAATAAAGGTTATATAGGTGTAGAAGGCAGTTTTGCTATACACACCAATATTGTATTTCTTTTTAAAAATTTGGTTTTTAATTTATTTTTTTAATTGTCCCCTTCATGGGCTCCCTTTGAGCTCCATGGGCCCTGGGAAAATGTACTGGTTGCACCCCCCTCTCTTCAGGCCTGGAAATCGAGTTTGACATCCCTGCTCTAAAAAGAACTTTGTTTCCTAGATAGTATGGATCAGCTTTTTTAGATCCGAGATAATTGGTGCTCTAGCAAAAGAGGATGACAGGGGCCTAACCAATAGAGTCCTCCGATAGGTAATATTGTACCCCATAACTGCTTGGCTACTGGGCCTCCACAAAAACTGTGCCTACAAGGCCTTCATGGCTTCTGATTATGGCAAGTGAAATTGAACATACTTTTGAAAGGAACTGGAAGCTTGGCTCCAGGCAGTTTCCCACGGTCATTTTATACCATATACTATATCCAACAAGATCTGCTGCCAAGCATATTATTGGCTGTCCAAATCAAGGGGCAAGTTCCTTGCTCCCAACATCATCCTTGTCCAGCTTCTCTTTTTCCAATTTTTCCGTCCTGATTTTTTCTCCTGCAAATCTTTTTCACTTGTGTTTCTCAGATGATGCAATATTTTGAGTAATAAACTAATCTGATGATCTGGATTCACCCCAAACAGTCATGCAAAAAAAGATAAAATCAGGTTAAATGTATATTAAGTGTATGTATAGATTCTAAGTTATCCAGGTCATGACCTGGATGACTGAGAATCTCCATAGGCATTTAGCTATGCAGGACGAGGACAGGTTAAACGGCGCATGTGTGAATGTAGTTATTAGGTTTGTAAGTATTCTGGTTTAGTATGTGTTGAATAGATACAGTCTCCATTTCCACAAATTTCTTTGGGCTGCTTTATTTTCCAAACTTTAATCTTCTAATGTAGGGGTGTCAAACTCGCGGCCCGTGGGCCGGATGCATCACATGCTGCCATGCCCACCCTGTTTTAGCAAAGGGGGGAAGTCATGTTACGTCACCTGATGACAAGATGATGACACGAATTTGACACCCCTGTTCTAATGCTTCTGTTGAAGGTATCTGAAATATTCATGACCTGTTATCCTCCATCCACATTTCTTCTTCATTTTTACATGAAGTGATCTATTCCATTGCTCTGTAGGATCTGAACCTTTCAACCAGGAGTAGCGGAAACTCTCAGTCACTCTGTCGAATGTCACTCAATTACATCTAGTCCTTGACTTATGACCATAAATGAACCCAGAATTACTGTTTTATGTGATAGCAGTTGTTAACTGAATCACCACATGTTCTTGCCATCTGATTTTATGTTTTTTTTTGTAGTGGTCATTAAATGAATCTATTTTTACCAATGATTTTTCCAGAAACTGAAAGCCAATGCAGGAAACTGGCAAAAACCAGTGAAAATCAGGGTGGTCGTAAGTCAGAGCACCATGTAACCAGACCTGATTTTTCAGCCATTTTTATAGTGGTCGTTAAATAAATCTCAGGATCATAAATCTGAATCCACTTTCTCAAATGGGTGGGGGTTTTAGGTTTTTTTTTTTGCCAGAAACTGGCCCTCCAAAAAAGGCATAAATTGTGTTCATATGAAGAAAGGATGCCTCCATTAGTTGTAAATGTAGTATTTCAATGTACTTTCAATGCAGTCAAGTTTATATAATATTTTAAAAATATTAACATCCTATTATTTTTTTTAAAAAAATTGAAGTACTGAAAATAAAAAGAAATAAATAATTGATACCATGTGACCTGGGAGGACTCAGCATCCTTCCTGGACTTTCCAGTCCTGCCATCACTTTCTCTTCCCTAACCCAGGAAAAAAAAAACAGGAGCAAAGAAATGAAAGAGTGAGCTAGTAAGAGAGAGAGAGACTTTGGGGCCTCGTTTGGTTCCTTCTTACAGATTTTCTACTGGGTTTTCTCCCCGCTGCCAGCTGTTCAACTGGCACCCAAAGTGGCACTGCAGTGCATTGACATGCCCATGAGCAAAATCCCACCTGGTTTTTTGTGCAGTGGATAAGAGGGATGTCCCCCCTCCCCCCAGCATGATGGTATGGCCAAGGGCTCCTAATCTAGCCCCTGCCATGTTTGGGAGGCAGCTGGCTCACCTGGGGGCAGTTACAGGTATGTGAGGCAGCTGAAGTCTCCAAAGGTGTGTATGGAATTGGAACAAGAGGATGCTTATTATCGAGTGGTTTCCTGCTACCTCAGCAGCTCCTCTGGGTAGGGTGCCCCTGAGCTGTTTTTCAGTCTCTGGAGCTGGCCCCGAGGGTAGGCATGGCTGCTATCCAGGCGTGCTTCATCTGCTGCAGGAGAAACCACCCACTTCCTGGCCTGGCAAAGGGGCCGAGAAGGATTATATAAAAGGAAGCAGAATCAAATTAGGGCTGCTATACATACGATAAATTCAGCTGCACAATGGCAGGCCTGCCCAAGGTACATTTTTACATAATTGGGAGTTTTTAGGGCCATAGAACTTGAATTCCTGATAACTCTGAATTTAGCGTTAAGGCCCGGAAGCTAAGCTGTCAGTCCTCATGACTGGAATGTAACTTTTAGATAGGAAGGCAGTCGGAGTGTTTATAAGAGGTGGGGTTCCTGGGCGCAAAATAGGGACTTGGCCTCTTTTTGTGTCTCCCTAATTTTCTATGCCCACTCAACCCATTTTATGATTTGTTTATGGTTTAATTAAAATCCGCTCATTGTTGTTTCAATACAAGATGGGCGGCAAATAAATTCAATAAGCAAGCAAGTAAACAAACAAACAACATAGAAGTACAATAAAAACTGGGCCAGTTTGCAAACTAGTTTAAACAATACAACAACAATCTGTAAACTGTTATAAAATCATTTTTAGGTCTGAGAAGTCCAGCTAAGCCACTCATGAAATTTTTATTTCTAAATTTTAGGGAGGAGGAGAATGAGAAGCGGATGAGTGCTTGTAGTTGGGTGTATCCTTGAGTAAGGCGAAGTAGTTTGAGAACTGCCAGGTTTAGCTTACCTTGTTGGGTAAGCCTAGAAAATTATACTTTGTGAAAGAAACTTTGATTCAAACAATCCTGGTTTAGTGTGGTCTGTGTAGCCAGGAAGAACTGGATAACTCATCTCATCTGTCTTAACAATTTGTTTGTTTGTTTCTATGTGTTCCTATCTCAGTGGCTGAAATTATCTTATCGTATTTAGTAATTAACCCTATGAGGCTGAAGGGATGCAGTGGCTCAGTGGCTAAGACACTGAGCTTGTCGATCAGAAAGGTCGGCAGTTCAGCGGTTCAAATCCCTAGCGCTGCGTAGCGGAGTGAGCTCCCATTACTTGTCCCAGCTTCTGCCAACGTAGCAGTTCGAAAGCACGCACAAATGCAAGTAGAAAAATAGGAACCACCTTTGGTGGGAAGGTAACAACATTCCGTGCACCTTTGGCATTTAGTCATGCCGGCCACATGACCATGGAGACGTCTTCGGACATCTCTGGTTCTTTGGCTTTGAAATGGAGATGAGCACCGCCCCCTAGAGTCAGGAATGACATGCACAAATGTGCAAGGAGAACCTTTATCTTTACCTTGAGTACATTGCTGTGACCACCTGTCAGCCCTTCAAGCAGAGCAGAATAGGGAACCAAAGTATTGCTAGTCAATACTATTTTTAATGTAAAGTTATAGTGGCAGAATCTTGCAAGTCTGAAAAAGCTTCCCGCTCCCACTCAAACCTATCTTTGTGAGAACTAGGAAAGGTCTTGTCTGAGATGGTAGTCGGATTACACTTTTATCCCAGATTGAGATTTATCTGACCATTGTATTGGCTGTGGCTTTTTCTTCTGTGCCTCAAGGTTATTCCTTCTTCCCACTAAATCTCCATCTGGCCTGTATGCTCCTAGTCACCTGACCCAAGAAACAGGCCTTGGAAGCATTTGAATTTGCACTTCCTTTCTCAACATTCTCCCTTCCATTCTACAGATCCACTCGCTTAGCTCCTCGGAGCCCAGTCTCTGGAAGAACAGCCTCTTCAACAAATTCAGAAATTTTGGTTGGCACAAGCGCCGCAGCAGCCATATTGAGCTCTCAAACTGTGTGGATAATGCAGCATGTGATCCTTTGGGGCGGCTTCAGAGACCAGCTGTTGGCAGCTGTATGGATATGAAGAGTAGACCTGATGTCTGCCCTCAACCCCATGAAACGGAGAAGGAGAAATTCCCATCTCAATCAAGTGAAATGGATTCTTTATGGTCAGATGTGGTCCCATCCACATCTTTAGATGCTCTGCATTTCTGGGCAGACAAGTCCTTCTCCACCAGCTATTCTTTTCTGGATGCTACAACCGCATCCAAAATAGAAGGAGACCTGGGGGAAACGAGCAAAGATACCAAGTCTCTCTCTGGTTCGGTTGAAAATATATTTGAAGATCATTTAACTTCAGAAACGTCTCTGCTTCCTATGGCGGGGAATTTGGAAAATCCGAGTGATCGCACTTGGCCCAGAAAGTCTGGACATTTCGGCAAAGGGACAAGGCTTAAGAGAGTAATGGCAGGCCCACATGTCCAGTGGCCTCCAGGAGTAGCGGAGGGTGCAAAAACCACCCCAACCAAAAATCCTCCAATCATTCGCTACGAGATTATGATCACAATGACTAAGTCAGAAGAAGAAGATGTGGAAGCCAAACCTACAGCCGGCTGTGGTGAGCAAAGCTCGCCTTGCCACTCACCTGGGAAGGCAGCACTTTCTCTGAGGGTTGCTGAATTAGAGAAAACAGCGGGACAACGTCACCAGAAACCAGCCAGACCGGCTCTTCGGTTGTCAGCGGGCAAGGAATTCCAAGACTGCAACAGGTTGCATGGGGTGGAAACCTGTCAGGTGTGCGGCTTGATAGCAGCCTCTGCCACGAAGAGCCTGGCAGTTCCGCGGGGACTGGAGAGCAGCTCAAGGGAAGGAGCGCAGTGGAACGGAGCCGATCCAGGGCATTCCCAGAATGGCACCTTGGTGGAAGGGAAAGGCAATATAGCATTGGAGACCTCGACCAAGAGGTATGTGGGGGACAGGGTTGGGAAGCCGGGCATTGCAGCAGTTGTGTTCTCTGAACCAGCCCTGAACTGCTGAGAAGGACTCGGGAGACGTGTCTCGGCAAAGAAAAAGAGAAAGCTGGAGGGTCATTTTTCACCTTTTTCAGTCCACTAAACCTTGGGAGGTCCTGGTTGCCTATTGAGATAGTTTATCGCACAACAGCTCAGGTGGGGCATTTGAACTCTTAGCAATCTTTGGTTGGGCACTGAATGAAACAGTTATCAGAGAAAAGAAAAGAGGGAGAAGGGAGGTGGGGACAGGTTTAGAGGCAAGGTTCCTGCTGGTCCAGGGTTCAGGATTTGTATAGAATGCAAAGAGAGAGAGAGAGAGAGAAAGCGAGAGAGAGACAGAGACAGACACACAGAGAGAGACAGAGAGACAGAGACAAAGTAAGGAATCAATTCCCCATCCTATTTGCTGCAGTCTCTGTGACATGCTTTTTGGGTGGAAAGCTTGGGTTCGATTAGAAGAGGATTATGGAAACTGTACTTCAGCATCACCAGAGGTGCTAGGGGGTAGGTAGCATTGTTGCCAGTTATTTAAACGGCTGAATAGCTGAAAGAAGATAAAGGAATGCCATTGAACTAATAGTGCCATCTTCTCTATAAAAAGTTTGAACCCAGCTTCCTTCCATAAAGCTGAGTGGAGAAGGAAATCCCATTGAGTCTGGAGATGATTATTCCTTTGCAAGATTGCACAGGATTATAATTAGTGGGTCTGCAAATGACAGATGCATTTCCTCATTATTTTCCCCCAGAGCCTTTGGATATTGCAAAGGGCTGGGAAAGAAACCAATGGGCTGTTGATAAGGACTGAGATTTTTCTTTTTATTCAGCAATTGCCTGGCTTTCCTGCATTGGGACCCACTTATGCATTGCTCAAAATAAGGAGAAAAAGGAATGGCAGTTTGCAAGATGGTTGCACAAGTTAATTTATAGGTAGCAATGTACTGTACATTTGGAAATAATGACTATAATTTATATAGAAATTAAAGGTATTTCAAGCTACTGAAGAAAGACTTTGACCAGGTGACAATTCCTGCATGCAGTTGTAGATGGGTGATTTCAAAACCTGTCTGCATCCACCCCCACCCCCACCCTTTAAGATGGATGTAGGATGGGCAGTAATTTAAAATGTAGTAGCTATTTGGGAGGCTGCGAAGGCCATCTTGTGAATGATGCTACGCTGCCTTTTAAAACAGAACTAATATTGAACAATGTTGGCCTTTTGCTTAAGTGGGTTTCTAATTGTCTATGTGTGTACTATGTGTGAAACATCTCTCTGTGAGAGGTTTCCTATTGTTAGCCAGCTTGAGCATGGAAATGGGTGGCACAAAAGTAGACTACCATAAATGAGGAACACCTTCAAATAGGTGTCTTTTGTAGAGCAAGACACATGACCTTATTTCCTCTTAAGGATTTCAAAAGACGTCAGTAAATAGCAGTAGTTAATGGGCAAAAATACAGCAATTGAAGACTGGGTTCCAATAAATCTCCACTTAAGGAATATTTAATCATTTCTATTGGACTGAGTAGAATTTGCTTCCGAGTGAATGTAGATTGAATTGTATTATGACCAGATAAAAGGTGAGTGCTTTTTCACCTGATGTATCTTCAGATAGATCCAGCACCGACATCTAGCTGTGTATTCTGCTTGCAGACAGATCCCTATTATGTCCTGCTTTGTTGCACTCTTGATCTCTCTTGTTCACATTACCAGGGTTTTATAAAGCATGGAGGAAAGAGGGATGCATGATGCATGTTTATTTTGGGAGGGTGCATGTTGCAGCATAGGAACTACTGCCAGAAAAAGTTGAATGCTTCTTTCTCAGCAACCCCTACGGAAGAATTCCACAGCTTTTGCATTTGTTGATGGGTACATCCTTAGGTGAATTCTAGTTCAAAAGTTCAAACATATTGGCTGCTGGGGTGATCAACAATGCAGCTATAGGATTAAAAGTTTGCCTTGGGATGTTGTCTTGGGAGAAAGAGAACAAACAAACAAACCTAAATATGAATGTAGCTTTGAATAGAGCTTTATTATTTCAGAGCTGAAGCATCTGCGCAAACTGAAGGTTCGTTTGTCTACTCATTCTCAAATGTGGCAGTTAGTTAAAGGACAGAATCCTACTTATGGGACAATAGCAAATAGAGCCACATCCTCTGCCTGCTATTGGCCAGACAGTGTCAAAGAAAGAGGATTTGGGAGAAGGAAGTCCCTGTCATTCCTGTGGTCCATTTCTTCTGCCTTCTGGACATTTCTTCCTTTATGGGAATGGAGATCTGAAGCTTAATTCTGAGTGAAGTACATGAGGAACCAGTAATGGCAGACAAGTAGCAGATCCTCAATATTTGTTGTCATGTGTTTTCATTCAAGGTTTGGGATGTGAACTTGGAGTTTGCGAGCAGCCTTGCTCTTAATGGGAGAGAACAGAGGAGACAAAGTTGGGGTAGAGGAGCATTGGGGAGCAGTAAGGGCTTTGCTTGAGCCCCTTAGGCCAGATGGAGTGCTCTGAAGAGCTATATTTATCTTTGTGTTGTAAGCTTTCATGTTAGAATTATGGGGTGAATAGGGACATGGGTATGTGTGTGTTATAGTGGCCACTTTTAGAACCTTTTTCTTTCAAAAGCCAGCCATCAAATTAGTGTCTGCTTTGAAAAACAATGTGAAAATGCCTGACAAGTACAAACAGCTGGTTAAGGATAACAACCCCCCAGAGTCCAGTTAGGTGGTTTTAATGCTACTGTTAGGGGTTAATGCAGAATCTTGGAAAAAGTAAGAAGAATGTATTAGTGAGTTCATCTAGGTGGAGTCTCTTGGAATGTTTTTAATAGTTTCTACCCCATCTTGTTGTGACCTGAGCTGCGTGGCTATTTGTGAGATAGGCTACCAATGAGCTCTCTTGTCTCTTGGTTGGTTATGTCTATTGTGCCTTCCATTGCTGCCCTAGATTTCCCACATTGTCTCCCAGGGCCTTTTGGTATCGTCCCATCAATATCCTGCAAAGATATGGTTGGCAGGTGGTGAAGGATTGGCAGGTGGTTCTGAAAACAGTGAAAGTGATCTCCTTTAGAAGACCAGTCTTTCCCCCCTGGAAGTTGCTTATAACTTCTATGCCCAACTCTAGTTGGTCCATATCAGAGGCAGGTATTAAAGGCACTGGACTAAATTAAGTTGGCGGCAGCAGCTTCATGTCTCTCACCAACACTTTCGCTTCACACAATGCTAGCCTAGAAAATCATGCTAGCTTGCACTTTGTTCTCAACTTTGGGAAAACTAGCTGAAATTCCAAATGTTTGCTTCCTTAATTGGTCATCAAGATGTTGCTGTTAGTCATAAAGATAATTAAACAGCCCACACATTTAGAGAGATGAAGCTATGATAATTCCACTTTAGTGTCTGCAGTAGAGAACTTCTAGGCAAACCACCTCAGTAGAACAGAAAACGAAGACACACATATGCATTTTTAAGAACTAAAAGCTGTTCTTCTCAGCCAATATAACTAGTCATTCCTTTCCTTGGGTATTAACTGCAAATATACCTAATTGCAAGGGACGTGGTGGCCCAGTGGCTAAGACGTTGAGCTTGTCGATCAGAAAGGTCGGCTGGTCGGTGGTTTGAATCCCTAGCGCCATGTAACAGAGTGAGCGCCCGTTACTTGTCCCAGCTTTTGCCAACCTAGCAGTTCGAAAGTGTGTAAAAATGCAAGTAGAAAAATAGGAACCATCTCTGGTGGGAAAGTAACTGTGTTCTGTGTGCCTTTGGCATTTAGTCATGCTGACCACATAACCACGGAGACGTCTTCGGACAATGCTGGCTCTTTGGCTTTGAAACAGAGAGCAGCACTGCCCCCTAGAGTTGGGAAAAACTAGCACATATGGGGAGCCTTTACCTTTATACCTAATCCCAAACTTATGTGAGTTAAAATGGTCTGAGAATTGAGCACGAGTGTTTAGTTGTGCCCAATGAGTTTCTTATATTTGTTGTTTATTAGGAACCAAAGTGTTTTGATAACCTTGCTGCTCTCTTAAGTATTTGCCATATTTTGTTTTTTTCTTTGGACAAAATAAAGATTGGTGCTGTTCCGTAGCTGAGCTGAATAGGAATATCTTCAAGGAAACCCTAATGCTTAAGGTAGCCCTTTTAAGACACTTTTTAAGAGAAATCCTAGATTCATTCATTTATAGAGCACCATTCCTGTTTCCTGTTTTAAAAGCATTCCTGTATATAAAAGACTGTTAGAAACCTACCTTTTCCTTACAGGGCAGTAGTAGCCAGTCCTTTTTCTGAAGCTCTTCATTAGAATTATTATGTATAAATCCAATGAAGTGCAATCCCATAGCCACTGCAAGACTAAAACCTATGGAGTTTGCTGGAATTGGATTTGATTAGTTTAAAGAAAAGAAGAATTTAGGAGTGACATGATAGCAGTGTTCCAATATCTCAGGAGTCAAGCTATTCTCCAAAGCACCTGAGGTTAGGACAAGAAGCAATGGGTGGAAACTAATCAAGGAGAGAAGCAACCTAGAACTAAGGAGAAGTTTTCTGACAGTTAGAACAATTAATCAGTGGAACAACTTGCCTCCAGAAGTTATTAATGCTCCAACACTGGAAGTTTTAAAAAAGAGATTGGACAACCATTTGTCTGAAATGGTTACAGGTTTCCTGACTGAGCAGGACATTGGATAAGAAGACCTCCAAAGTCCTTTCCAACTCTGTTATTCTGTTATTCAGTGTGACAAGGGGCCTAATCATATAATCTAACCACAATTTGTATTTTCACAAGTTTCAAGGTTGCTCAGTTCTGGAATAAGGAGACATAGGATCTGTATGTTTTTGGATTTTGAAGCATTTTAGGATTGATGCCTGGATAAAAACACCTTTTGATTATTTTAACATTGTTTTCGTCATGCTAAAATAATGGCTATGCTATTTTGCATAAGGTGAAGAACTTTTAGGGTTT